CAGCAGCAGCCGCAGCAGCGAGGTGATCCTCCTTGCCAGCAGCAGCAGCAGCAACGGCAGCAACACGGCGTATGGGGCTCTCAACAGCCGCAGCAGCCACAGCGGCAGATTGTTCCCGCCCTGTACTTGTATGCTACGTCTGCCAGTTTCCCGTCGGCACTCCCAGGTGTATCGAGATTCAGGGGTAGCATGTGCACCTTCCACGCTTCCCCATCGGGCGAGATGGTGTTCAACAGACGTTCGCCGTGGCCGGAGGAACGGGAGCTTGTGGCCCACCATGGACAGAGGCTTCGGGTGTCGTTTGTTGGTGATTTGACGGCAAAGTTCCATTACACGCAAAACGTTATCGTCCCCTTGAAGGACGTTGCTGTCGTTCCGGGGCTGACATGTGCCCTCATGTCCTTTACCAAGAAGCAGGGGAGACAAGATATCATCCTGAACAGCAATGGTGTGTCGCTCATGGGGGGAAGCATCCAGTTTGAGACGTGCAGCAACGGCAACTTCATCCAGGGTACTCGTGTTTCGCCGGCTGACTTCCCGTCTCGTGTGGTATCCGCTGTGCCATCTTTACCGGTGGCTACGGCATCTCCCCCTGGGGGGGGGCTTCGTCCCGGGGCATTGGCGGCGTCTCCAGTGGCAGCAGTGCCGACAGAGCCGCGTTCCTCAGCATTGGTGGAGGAGTCATCAAGGGCACAGGTGCCAGACAAAAGCGCGCCCATCGCGGAGTCCAAGCCCATCGCGAAGTCCGAGCGATTGGCGGCGGGATCCACGCGGAAGATACTACGGCGGAGGCACCAGCGGTGATGATAGCGACGGAGCAGCGCTCCCCAGCGGTGGTGGATCGAAAGTTTTGTGGTAGCCGGTGTAAGGAGGTGGAAGTCATGAGCGCGAGCGGCACCGACAGCGCCATCGAGAGCGAGGACAGCTGTGACGGACCGCAGTAGCGGTCTACGGGATCGGCGACAGCGGCAGTAATAATGGCTTGGGCGCGCAGGAGCTGACCTGTGGTGACCGGGGGGCGTCCACTCACCCTTTCGGTCCCGGCACCGTGTTTGCAGGGGTTCGAGACGCCGGCACTGTGCGTGCAGAAAGCGCCGACGGCAGTGATTGTGGACAATACGCTGAGGAGGTCGGCGACCGGAGGAGGAGCAGCAGCAGCAGCAGCAGCAGCGATGACGGGCTGGATGTGGTCTGGTTTGGGGCACTGCTGCGCCCGTTCGACCCGGGCCCACGGCTCCTGCTGAGGTCGAGCGGAGGGGGGCCGGTGCTGGGGGTCGACACCCCTTTTGACCGTGGAAAGATGTTGGGGTGGCGACGGTCGGAGTGCATGCGTTTGCGGCCAAAGCAGCGGAGGAGAATTTGATGGCGTCGGAAGCGGGGCGCCGAGACGTGTTGGCGGAATTTTGGAGGCCTGAAGCGAGACGTACAGCAAGAAGTTTACGGGCTTGCTGCGGCGGTCTAATTTCAGGTTTTGGTTTTGATTTTGTATGTTTTCTGTATGCAACATCTCATTTTGGTTGACATTCCATACGCATGCGTTGCACATGTTCCGTTCTGTTCGAGTGGTGATGTTTTGCTGTTGAATTTCTCGTTTTCAGTGTTTTTTGCTGCGGAGGACTGATAATCTTTGATACAGATAAGCGTACGGTCGTGATGGTTATGCAGAGACATCGCAAACCTTTATCGCCCATCACTGTTGTTCGCTGCACATGGAAGCTGGAAGTTATGGCGTTGACGTTACAGCACTCAGTTTTATACAGGACCTTACATTGGCAACACGCGTTTGTTTCGATCAGCTATTCGACCGCGACCAGCCATCTGATGAAGTATTGCAAGGGGATGCCGTATTCATCGTCTATATTGGTGTGCGTCGGAAGACAATATGCTGGATTTTTTTTGCTTTTGAGTGTCCATTCGGGGGGCTAGGAATTTTCATACCCCTTGTATTTGGTGGCACTGGTTGCTTGTGGAGTACCTTGTGCAAGCGTCGACCCTCACGGACCCTCCCTCCATTGCCTGCCCTACCCAACCAATGTTTCCCTTTTAAGCGCCGTCATTCCACTTGTGTTTTCGGCTGGGGGGGGCTTTCTCCTTTTTTCTTTGCTTATTTTGTCATGTTGGCGGTCAAAGCAACGCCGTTTTGTAATGTTTTCGGAAGGGGGGCGCTATACTTGTGTTTTGTTTATTTTGTTGTGTTTTCGGTGGCCAAGGTGCACCGTTCTTGCTTCTTTTCAGCCGGGGGGGCGTTGCATTTGTTTTTGTTGTGTTTTCGGTGCTCGAGAAACACCGTTCTTCCTGTGGGCATTCGGTGCTTGTGCAGCGTGCGAACTACATTATTGCCGTGCTGCTATCAAGAATAATGGGGGGGGGAGTGTTGTACCATGATCCTTGTAGCAGCAAGAAGGTTTCGTGTATTGCACATGTTTTAGGAATGATAACGACTCCTGGGTATCTGTGGGCCATGGGTGTAAGCCTCATGGTTTTTTATGGTGCCTCGTAATTCACAACACGAGGGATTGTTTGAATTCCGTTGAAAACAACGAGGGTATTTTATGGTTTTCATTGAAGAATGTGTTTTGGTATTCAGTTGCTGTTAAGATATTTCTTCGCGTTTTACCTGGCGGAGTGATATTCTACCCAACTACATGTTTGCATTTCCCGGGGAAGTCACAGCAGGGGGGCTGTTGGATATATTTTCGTTGATACGCTAAAGCCAGTACTACTGATGAAGATTTTCCCTGATGTTTCCCGACGAATGGGTTCTTTACTCGTTGTAAGTAGAGGCTAGTTTTTCAATTTATGTTTGTTCTGGAGGAAGGATTTGGCATGTCTTGATAAGCAATGGTTGGGGCGTAATGTGCGTTCCGAATGCATATTGTCTGTTCGTCAATCAGTTGAAATCTGGTTTTGTGCTAAGCTTTTGGTCTGTGGCGTAACATTTCTGCAGGAATGTTGATGTCATGAAGATATCTTGAGACGTAATGAGAGCACCGTCTCGAGGGGATATATTGTTCACTGGTACTATGTGGGTAAAGAAAATGATTTGACATTTGAAGATTCAACGGATTTCGGATGATGGAGTTCTATTGAGAAATCAATGATTTCGGAGGACAACGTTATCGTGGGAGACTTGTTTCGAATTGGGACGATGGATTATCTATTTTTGAGATTTGAGGTTGTTACGGCCAAGTTCCACGGTAAGAGAAAAATATGAGTAGATCGTATCTAGTACCGAGTAGGGGGGCTGTTGGGTGTACTCAGCACTAGATACAGATCTACGGAGGGGTTTTCATGTGTCATGTTGGTATGTGTTGCTGGAAGGGCGTACCTTTTCTGGTGTGCATGGTTTCTTGCCCTGCTGTTCACCCGTTCATAACAAGGTCTTGAGTCAACCTTCTGCCCACAGCCTCTGACGACAAGCACCCGCTCCCCAACATCACTTATGGGTTTACGGGTTTAGTCACTGGGATTAAGAGTAGGGATCTCCGGGGACGGACCCCTCGCCAGGCGCTGCCGGGAAAAGGCAAAATGGTGCTTGGGAAAGTGACCAGCTGGGGTTGGAACCCGTGCGTGTGTTCTTAACACGCCACATGTCAAAGCAAGGTGTAACTTTATGTAACAAAGGATTAACGCACGGGTTCACATCCCGCTGGATCACTTTCGAAGCACCATTAAGTTCTTTTTCCGGCAGCGCCTGGCGAGGGGTCCGTCCCCGGAGATCCCTACTCTCAATTCCAGTGATTAAAAGCCGTATGCCCCTTGTGATCCAACCGGGTGCTAGTGAGCTGAGCGCATATCTTTTATTCGATGAAGCTTTACAATTAGACCAGTCAGCGCTAACTGGTCTAATGGTGTAACTTTATCGAATAACCTTATCCTGCAGCACTTTGAACTGTGACCGAGCCGACCAAGACCTGAATTCCCCCCGGCCCTCTATTCCCCCGCCCCCCCCGTCTTATCCTCCGACAACACGAACACCGTAACCAGGGGCACCACTCCCCCGACGGCCCCGATGGACAGGGCTTGGGCTATCGCCTTCTGGGTTAACGTGTGCATCACCGTCCTGTCCGTAAGTCAGACACAGAATGAACCTGCTGGTGCTGTCACGACCAATCTACTCTGTATATGTTGACTGAGGTCATTCACAGCAAGAAAATAACCTCGTTCGACGCCGAGCAGCGGTTGGGTGAACACATCTCTTCAGAAGCTTACGAGAGAACTTATGCTTGCGTGCATCCTGTTTGTGAACGTATGCACCGAAAATAGTTAGTGAAATAGATATTTATGTACGTACAGGAGTCGACCCTCAAAAGTTCACCCGAGTTTGTCATGACCGCTTCGTTTTGTTGAGTCTCCTTCATTTTTTCGTCTCGACCCACTCTCCCTGCCACTCGTGCTGGAAATGGTTCCGGCGACTATGCCATGAGAGGAAAACGCTCACAACGGTATGCCCAAGCTCCAGCCCTCATGCCACATCCAGAGACCCGCCAAGGACAAATGTACAAAAGCGGCTATGGTTTACGAGAGGGTCAGGATGAGCTCAAAGTACTCTCGAACCCGGTTTTTCTCTTGAACCGTACCACGAAGTGATACAGTAGGTACCATGATATTTCTCATGGCCGTGGCAGCCGCTTCTGTCACTCTGTTACTTGCACGTGGTCTCTACGAAGCAGTAGCCGCTGTTGCCTACCGTTTGTTCGGACACAGCGTTCAGTGCGCGCGAGTGTGTGAAAGTGGCAATGCCACCACCTCGAAGCCCGGTAGTCTAAGCGAGAAGGTGGAGAAATGGGAAAAGGGGGCGCATTTGCCCCAATCGTTCGGACGTCGAGTTGTGAGCTATTCACGACAGGTGCGGCCACTACCGGCACACCTGGAAGACGGAAAAAAACTCCCTCCAAGTTTTCTGTGGAGGCGTAATGAGGATGATGCACAGGCCATGAAATGCAACACGAAGCCCCTCTCGGCCATCTCGTCTTTCAACCGTCTTCTTCCGGGGTCAGGCCATATTCTTCAAGGCTGAGGGCGCAAAGGCGGTGAACGCGCATCATCGGCGCCTGTCGGGCGATAGCGCCGCCGGATCGTTGCTCGCGCCGCTGCTGATGGTGGTGGTGATGATCGCAGTGGGGTGGGGCGTCGCTTGCATGGCGCTGTACTCTCTTGCTAGCTACCCCAAGCGCATGCTTCAGGTGAGTTTCTCACGGGGCGTCCCTTCTTCTAGTGCCTTTCATGTGTTGTCGTCGCGCCTTGTCATCTGCCTAGCTGTTGACTCCTTTGTCCGCATCACGGATACGGTTTCCTTTGTTTGTTTCATGTGTCCGTTGTTTCAACTCGGGGTCCTTTCTTCCTCTCGTCTAACATTTGTGGGCCAGGGCGGACATCCGGTGGCGTTTGCACACCTGTAGCGTGCGTTTCTGTTTTTTTGCTGCTGAAACAACCAGGTCCATGGATCGATCAGATGACTAAGTTTTATTTGTGTGAGCAGCAGCGATACGATTTGTTTTTTTCTATGGTATCTGCCTCCATATCGCGATGCCGACAGTTTGATTTTTCCTGAACTTGACTACAGCTTGATTAACATTCCGCGCCCCCTTCTCTCGTCGTTCACGTCCCGGGAGTCACCGACCGATTGATTCATTCAGCGTCTCGCCGAAGTGGGAAAACGTTTATGGGTTTCAATGTCTCTCCGCCCTCCACCTTTGGGACAGTAGGAAGGAACGATTGGACACAGTGATCGGTCCTGTGACAAAGCTCCGTCCTCTCGAGGACTCGTGGTCAATCGCCCAACTGTTAAGGCATGCGACACATTAGTACGCTCCCCTCCGAGCAACAATGCCTCGTTTTCTCTCCTGATTCGCTCTTTTTCGTGTTTTTTCCGTGCCATGTATACATGTGCGCAGGCCGCGTACGTGGGCTTTGCGGGTGTCTGGGGCGTGGCAGCGGCAGCTGCCCTGTGGAATGGCATCACGGTTATTGCGGTAGTGTGCGCCCTTGTGTGCGCCATCGTCGCCTGGGTGTTCTGGAAGAACCAGAGCCGCCTTCGTTTCGGCGCGGCCAATCTCAAGGTTGGTGTGGGGACGTACAACAATAGTGCAGGTTGTGTGTTTCCAAGAGAGAGTTGTGACATCTGCGTTATTGCTTTTGGTGGTCTCGTCAGAAAATCAATCTGTGGGAGTCAATACGCTTCGTGTCTCCTTCACGGAATTCATTGTATCTGCAGACAATATGAAACCCCCGATGTAGGTGGAGTGATCTATCTCTCCGTGGTTTTGCTTTCCCAGGCTGCTTGTACCACTCTCATACACGAATTGCCCACAACACCTCCCTCTCTGTGACACAGCACTTTTTCCACCACACACAACACTGCTTTTCCTCTTGGACCACAACAACAATAACCATGACGATATTATTAGGTGGCCGCCCTTGCGGTGAGGTCCATGCCTGGGACGATCCGCTTGGCCCTCTTCATGAGCGCCGTCCAGGTGGTCTGGTCCATGCTCTCGGCCTCGGCTGCGTGGGGCTCCTTCGCCGCATTTTCGCCCATGGTCGTCGGTGCCGACGGCACCACCTACTCGTCCCTGGAGTGTCAGGTAGAGTCTATCCGGCGTCGGAGAACGGACCGGGGAACGACAATTTATAGAGATTGTTGGTGTCGAACTTCGAAAGTTACCAACAGTTTTTTTTATAAACGATCCATGTTTTTGGATTGTTTGTCAGGTGGTGGGGATTGCAATGCAGTCGTGGGCCCTCTATAAGGCGGGTATGCGCCAGACCGATTCACATGCCTTATCCAAAGTGAAGAACAACTTGATTCTTCCGTCGGCGCCCGCCAATTTTGCACGCCTTATATAGGGCACCCGCCTATTACCCGCCTTCGACTGTATAGTCTCGGGGTTTCGCGTCGAATTTCGAAAGTTACCACATTTTGTATTTTTTTGTAATATTTTTTCGCATGTTCGTCGAGTGGTGGGGACGATTTGTGGGGGTTTCGTGTTGAATCACGTAATGCAACCACCAGTTATTTATGCTCGATCGATCGTTTGCGGAGGGTGGTCTTCTTGTCCCCCCCCCCACCCCCAGGGTGAGAACCCGGCGTGCTCTGTCCCGGCTTTGTAGGGATGCGAGGTCAATGGTCTAACGACTACGGCATGCACGACTATGAGTACACCCCCCCCCACCCCCAGGGCAAGCTGCGGGCTACTTGAAAAAAGAAATCGTCGGGGTGAAAACATTGTGGCGCAATTTTCTTATTTGAAGCACCTCCTCGACCGCTACCGCTGGAGCGCGAGAGACGTTTTTCACAATACGAAATAACCTTTACCAATGCCCGCATACTTTCCTCTCCCCAGGACATTGCCGTCCCCTCCTCGCCCTACGGCGGCGGCGAAACTACTGCCGGTTCGGGCCTCTCGTGCCACTGCGGCGGCGAGGTGATCTCTAGCGACTCTGGGTGCGAATTCAGCAGCGGTTTCCCGCGCTGGGTGCTCGCGGCCTTCTGGCTGGGGAGCGTCACCTGGGTAATCGCCGTCCTGCGCAACGTCGTGACGGCTACGGTAGCCGGTTCCGTGGCCTCTTGGTGGTTCTCCCCGGGAGACACGAGGTCCGTGCGCGGTGCCTTCTACCGCGCCACACACAGCTCGTTCGGGTGAGAGAAACGGTGGGCGTGGTGGTGACGCCGCCGCTTGGCCGGGGTTGACGAAGAAGGGATCGTGAGATCTAGACTTGTTGTCTGCATGACGGGAGGTCGTCGTTGTTTTGTTCTTCGAAATCTGCGAGTGATGTTGTGTTCACCCGTATTTTGCGAGGGTCACTCTCGCTCTCATGCTGACACCGGCGCGCCTCTCTCGTGGAACGGTATTATTCCCGTTACCACCGCAACTCACTTCACGGGCCGTGGTTTGTTTTGAACCGCGATTCCGTGAAATGAGGAACACTTTCTTGCAGTGTATACCATCCTAAACACGTCGGCTTGAAAAAGTGTTTTAATGGCCCCCCCTAAGGTACTGAAACAACTTCACGATGGCTCTCATGACTAGGCCCACAATGCGGCGTGCACACGGTTACTATCATCTTGTCCTTCCGCAAAGAAGAATCCGAGGCGCATTCCGAACTCTGTTTCTACGTCTGGTATTAGAAATATCATCACCGATCGAACGGCAGTCGAGGGTGCCGCCGACAAGGACAGATTGCTTGCGGCTGTAACGTGGCGTAGCTTCATAGCTGATCGCGGAGCCATAACTGATCGCGGAGCCTATCGCGAGGCTTTCGCCCTTGCTCGGAGATAGTATGCACGTTCGGTCGGGCGTACCACCGGCGGCTGGCTCGTTGAATTTTCACCCTCACGGTCCTTTGCCTCGACTGGACAGTTTGTCGCTGAAAATAGACATTTCCACTTGTAGAGGCTTCAAACGCCATCCATTCATTCATTCCCGGGCTACCCTTCCCGTTCCCGTCACGTGCACCGCCTTGCGTGAGGCCGGACCGCCCTAACCTCTTACGGCATTTTCTCTCGCACGTTTGGTCCAGGTCGTTGTGCAAGGCTGCTGCGATCGTGGCCGTGATACGGGTGGCCATGTTCCCCCTTCGACTGGTCTCCCACGCTCTCTGCCTCAGGTGTTTCCTCCGCAGGTTTCGGGATGCCGTCGGCTACGCTTCCGCCTACGCCATCTGCTTCATCGGCATCTACGGCTTGGACTTCTCGAAAGGTGCGGGGGCGCACCCAATCTCCCGCACTACTGGGAGTTTTGACTATCAGCCCATGGGCAGCCATTCGAATGGGCTGCCCAAAGGCACTTGACAGGCCGGCCATGTGTTGCCTATAGGCGTGACACGGCTCACACTCGTGGTTCGGAGTGTCGTCCCACGTGGAGCACAGAACACTTGGATTACAAGTCATGTCTTTTACAAGTCATGTCTGAGGCTGAGGGCCAAGTCTCCCCCGGCCCCCTCGAAGCGGTAGATAGTTGACTTTCGTTTGCAGACGGAGCACTGCACGGTGCGGGGAGCCAATGCGGCACCTGTTCATCTTTACCGAACAGGCTGAGACCATATGCGAAACCAGACCCAGTCGTGTTCGCTGACTGGTCAAATGGTTCGATTTCGATTGCTAAAGGTTTCATCATTGCCTCGTGAAGGGTGGCTCATGCGCTGTAAATCCGCGCTGAACTCGTCTGGCCTGCGCCTCTTCCCCATACAACCAGCCATGAATATCAGGGGTGTGAGTCTGGCATTCAGTAACATCTGTGCACTGTTTGAACGGCTACTGAGCGTTCGTCCGTCCGTCCCGACCCCGGAACTCTTCCTTTGCAAGCAGCCCTTCGACGAGCGCACGAGCTGTTCCAGAGGCGCGGGATAACAATGATCGCCAACGACGGCATTGTCAGTGCCGGGCTGTTCCTGCTCACCATGGGCCTGATGTCTACCTACGTGGTCGTGGTGTGGTCGATGGTGTGGTCGAGTATGGTGATGTCGATGGGCGCGCAGTTCTCCGGCAGCTTGTTTTTTTTTATCATGTCCGTTGTCGTGGTTTTTTTCTTCGTGCCGGTGGCGGTGTGCTTCTCGACCACCATGTCCGTCTTGCGCTCGGGCCGCAAGGCCGTCTTCGTCTGCTTCGTACAGGTGGGGGATGAACGTATGCACCTATGTACGTACGCATGTGAGACTTTATACCGATTTGTGAATCCTTCCCCAAAACCTCAAGAAATGTCTTTGGGCTGCAAGACGATGAATAGATGCAGCGAACCGTGCTTTCGTTGTTCTTCTTTGTCTCGCGCATACTTGAAATAACCACGCCTCGTCGTTTTCCAATAGTGAAAGATTCGAAACCCAACGTTTGACTGATACCATGTGGTTGTCTACGCGCCGTCCTTGGTTTGTTCGTTCCGCCGCTCAGGACCCTGAGGCGCTCGCCAACAACCACGGCAGCCAGACGTACGATGACCTCTCAGGGGCGTGGCAGCAGATACAGACGGAGTGCCCCGGGGTGGCCAGCAGCAACATCCCCCACGTGCCGATCGCGACCAGCCCCAATATGGTTGAGATGCACGACCACCGGGCCACCACCCACACCGAATATCAAGTCTGATACATCAAAACCGTTTTGTTGGGTGCATGCCGATATCACGAACAATGATGAGATGTACGGCGCCCGAGCCCCGCCGGGTTGCTCCAACAACAACACGCTTGTGTTGACGGTTTTGTTTGAAGTGTACCAGAAAAATAGGTAAAGCATTAGGTGGAGTTACATCTGAGCGGAGGAGGGAATCCCTTCTCAATGACAATGCAAGACGGAGTTCGGCCTCCGAACATAGACCAGTGGCCCCGTCGATGGGATTGAGAGGATACCAGCGCCTGATTCGATTCACCTACAGCAGTAGCAGAGTACCGGCTGGACGTTTGTTGTAGTTCAGCAGCTGGACCAAATAGTTCGGCAATGAGAACTACTTCTTCCACCTCTGTAAGCAGGTCTGGTAGGGCGGGAAATGGCATGTCGATGGCGGTGTTATCACCGCCAACATCATCAACCGTACACCCTTTCGGATATTCTCAAGATTTCCGTGTTCAACGTTTTTCTTCTTCGGATACTCGGTGTCTCCTGCAATCACCCGTGGCTTCTCGGCCCGACTCTCCACCGCCCACCTTGTCGTCTGTTGGTCGTGGACGCCTCCCTCACTATTCCGGCAGCATCTTTGTCGTGTGGGGAACGGTGGATAAGACTTCGAGATTTTCACCGCAGCTCACCCCGTCGTCTCCAGTTACGGAACGAAATAGTATCCCGTAAAGCGAGCTTCGACACTCGTCGGAAGCACCATCGATTCTCCTTTTTTTTATCTATTCTTCGCGGCTTTCGCTGGCCTAGCCCGCCCGCGCCGTACCGGCGTCGCCGCCGCAGCCTGTGGTTTCTCTGCTGCCTACCACATGCTGATTGTACCACCGCGTTCGGGATTGGTGGTGACGCCCATTGTTTCGTGGAAAGTTCTGTTCCTTTGGGTACGGAGGAGTACAGCGAAAACCCGTCTACAGCAGGAACTACTTCTCCAATCGAACCTGGACCGATGCATGCGCACCCGTTCTCCTACCTCGTTTCCGGGTCCTTCATCTCCATATACATGTGTGGAGCTGCCCCTTTGGCTTCCCTCAGCCTGTGCGTGGCGCCCTTCCTTTGCCCCTCTTACGCCCTGCACGAGCACACAGCCGGTTGACAACAGGCGTGAATATTTTCGGTGACGAGGTGTCCTCTTCTATAATCCTCTCTCATATTGTTGGCAGTGGCCTTCATGCGGTGAGCAGTTTATGACCCGCCTGAGGAAGCTACGGATGGTCATGGATATTTCCTCGTTTGAAAGGAACAAACGTTGTAAACTCGGATCACACCTGGCCAACATACTGCTCTGTTGGTGTTTTGGCGATGTAGAAGGCAGGAGAGCACCCGATGCACATACCGAAGCGAGTGAATCAATCAACGGATCTAGAAGGCCGTTTCTAACGAGGTCGACCGCATGTAGCACAACACTCTGTAGCAAGATTTGCGAGTCCGGCTCATTATGCAGCAACACCGGTAGTGCGCTCGCCACCGTCAACCCAGGCGTCCTGACCGACCCCTTCACCACCAACCCTCTTCTTCCTCTACCTATGGTGTCAGACACGAGGCGCAAGGGCGAGAAGAAGGCGCCCCCCGCCATAGCGTCAACCAACCGGTGGGCGGTTGTCGCTAAAGGAGGGCGAGGACGAAGACGAGGACAGGAAGGACCTGGGCAACGGAGCAAAATGTGAGCTCGTTTCTACAGAAAGTGACTACGGCATTTCGATGCTCCCTCTTGGGCAACATGACCTACCCTCTGCGTCCCCCTTCGCGATGTCGATGAACGTCTTGCGGGTTCCGCTCCGGCTCCACTAGGGTTACGACGTTATCTACAGGGAAGATGATCTACATGTGTAGCTATTCGTTTTCATGATCAAGAGCTAAACTAAGATTCGCCCTCCTCCATTGCTGGGGTATTAACTCTTCCACTCGTCTCCCTACAACTAACGTTGCAGGAGGAAAGCCCGCGGACACCACGACTGCCACTTCTACACATTATTGCTGCTGTGATGGTATCTGGCTAAGGACACAGGTGTTATTTACTGTAGTCCATGAGCAACGGGCTGCTGTACTATGTAGGTAGGCAACGGCCATCAATAGGGTAATACTCGGGCAACGAGCCCAAGAACCTGGTCGGCGTCGTCAGCAGGACGACCTCGGGCGAAGTTGCGCCGCATTTATGTCGTGTAGATCGCTGTCGGCTGTTGGATGATGTCCATGATGCATGATGAAGAGGCAGAGGCGGGTAGACAGCTGAGCCCCCATTCTTCCAGAGCTCAATTAGAGCAAGCAAGGTCCAGGACCAATCAAAGTGAGTCAAAGCAGCTCCTGATCCTCTACAATAGTCGGTTCCGCCCCATATCGCGATCGCGCTGCTTATATATCACACACACACGTGTTCCAGGCCAAATACAGCGGTCTTGTATACGAGATGTTGTGAACTCCGGCAAGAGGGGCTGGCGGGATAAACGCGGAGTTACAATGGCACTTGATGCCCGTCCTGACCGCTTGGTAGTGCGGTAGTGCTCCATTTCCGCTGAGTGGTTGATAGGCGGGAATGCTCGTCTGCCAGAGCTTGACAACCCAAGGAAAATGCAGGGCTGCCAGAATATTCTCAGCAGGTTTCTCGGTTGCGTGCCCCCCCTGCCGCTTTGCCTGTCCCCCGCGATGATTGTTTCCGCTGCATCATACATACACACACAAACCGGTAGGGGGCATCGTCACCACCTGGAGGCAACAGAGCTCGACCGTTCCGGTGGTCAACGATCTTTGAATCTTTGCCCTTCTTTTGCTCCAAGGGTCGAGAACGTACAATTGCCTCCAGAGGCGCCGAGAGAAACAGAGAGGTGAGAGGAAGAGGAAGCAAACACTGCAAAGTGCTGCTTGAAGCTTGACCGCCAACAAGACATCGACATCTCGCAGCCAAGGGTATGGGAGACATGAATAGGAGGGCCCGATTGTTGGCACGTTCTGTGTGCGTTGTGATCTGGATGCGTAAGTCGTGTCGCCCACGTCGATGGTTGGGCTACAGAGTAGTAGTTGGGATGCACCTTGCCTTGGCACGCGTCGGCGGGATTTTGGAACATGATTCTTGTTGGATAAACCGGGTAGGCCGAAGCTTGTAGGTTTGTGGAGAAAGGCTACTCGGCCAGTGAGGGCCGAGATGGGAAAGTCTTGTATTAGAGGGAAGAGGGAACAGCAGAGAACACAAGAAGGCGAGGAACCGAAGAGAGCGTCACCACACCTATCCGTCACGCAATTCAGATCACTCATCGAATCTCCGAAGCAACCAAGCAGAAACTCCCTGTTCCTCCGCAATCTACCAACTGCAATCTCCGTAGATCCATGCCCCATATTCAGCCACATTTACTATGCTACGAGTATATCTAACAGCCCCCTTCTCGTGTGCATCGTAATGATACGGCAAGTCAATATAATTCCATTTACTCCCCAAACGTAGATCCTACTCCTCCATGACACACAAATAACCAAGAACTCGATTATGCAAATTTTCCTGAACTCACAACGTCTTGTCTCATCGCCTTCATTCCTTCTCTGAAAAACGCTCTTCTTCTGGTCCATCCTTTCTCAGTACTTCACCGCAACGACACCCGCAAAGTACTAATATCCCCCGCACAACCGAAGCATTAAACAATCCATCGAACCAAACCTATCTGTGACACTCGTCAGTACGTTCACTTTCGAAAACACGGATCAATTCGTAGAAATTCGCCTTCGTTGTGCTTCCAGTACATCCATCCATCCGTCTACAAATCCTACAAAGACAACACAAATTTCGCAAAAACAACAAACGTATTTGTTTAATGTACCGCGCAAAAACAGAAGTAAGTATGAACATGCCCATTTGCAGGTAAAACGCAGCTGGGTATGGTATGGATCCTTTTTTACTCTCACATGTCCGATCAAACAACATCCATCCTCAAACATTCGTTCAGCGTGAAGATCATTTGCGCAGAAAATACGTGAGTATTCCTATTTTGTCTCTCTAGAAACCTAGTACCACCTACAGGTAAATACCTTCCGAAAGAACAACGCGCCCCCCTGCTCTGGGAGATTGGCCCCCGTGAGTTTAGAAGGGGTTGGAGTCTGAACCATAGAACAAAAGAACAACATTTAATGTTCATCCAGTCGAAACCCAAGAAAAACAATCCTCCTGCAAATAAATCCCGACGAACACCAAAACCACATCAAATTTAATGCCAAGACATATAATCCAATCCAGTACCAAAACAGAACATTCGAAAACCCTTCAATTCAATACCAAAACAATCAACACTCGAAAATCCTCCAATTGAATACCAAAACAATAACACTCGAAACTCCTACATTTGCCGGCCCATCAAGCTCCAGCGCTGAACCCATTGCCCAAGCCATTGTTTCTCTCCCCCCAGCGGATATTTCGCACGCCTTCGCCGCGGTCGCCTTCCGTCTTTCATCTTTTCCGGCTGGCCGCGACTCGAGCTTGGATCTTTGCGTCCGCCTGAAGTGGGGGAAGAACATTTGTCGCTCCCGGAGGATTGACTCGGCGGTGGTGCAGGGCAGGTCGCGCGTTTGGAGGGGAAGATGGCGGCAGATTAGTTCCGAACAAACCAGCACTACTGAAGAGAATCACATACTACCAACATTCCCCCCGGTTCTGCACAGTAGTGACTGCAGCAGAAAAAACAATAAATGAAATACACTTTCAAGTCGTCGGACCCTACTTGTTCAATGTTTGTCTGAAATTACCGATCACTGCGACATTGCCATTCAATACATAGATAGCTGAATATCATCCTGAAACGGAGGTTGATTAGTCCTCTATCACAAAATCATAATTCAGCCGCTGCTCCTGTTCCAAACAAAGGGTATCAATCCTAAGTCGAAACTTTCACAACTTTGGAATCGCAATCTCATAACAAATAGCAACCTCAAGACAACGTATAACAATATTCGGAAATCAGCATTTGTTTCGTCAATATTGTGGATTTTTAATCTGCAACAAGGTGGAGGTACCAATCAATGTTGCACGTCGCTGAGACTTCACACGTCTGTGGTACTCGCTGACACAACCAAGACATGAAAAGTTTTTGATCAGGTTAAACCTGCTACCGAAAGAAAGTCCAGATAAAACGTTGATCACGCATTTTTGATCAGGCTAAACCTGCTGCTCAAAAAGTAGCTACCAAAAAGAGCCCAGATAAAACGTTGATCACGTTGTTGCCGGCGAGAGAAAGTTGGTCTCAGCACGGCTGTCAGGAAGACAAAGCACAAAACCTCGCCAATCACTGCATTACATTGCGCACAATACTATTTCTAATACCATGCTACACGCACACACAATATCATCAGTTTAGAAACTGGCATCAGTTTTTGAGGATTACTGGTAACCTGGATTGTGTCTACCCATTTGCTACAGGTAGTCGGCCTTTGACCGAGCGGTGGAGTTTGACGGCTGTACCGCACGACGTATTGTCGCGTTTTGATTGAGCAAGTGT